TTTTTTTTTTGGTGGTACCAGGGATTGAACTCAGGACCTTGCACTTGCCAGGCAAGCACTTACTCTACTGAGCTGTCTCCCCAGCCCCTTGAATTTTCGAAAAGGGAACCACAGACTTTTAAAGAAAGACTAAAAATTTCTAGAGCTCTGATTTCTTGAAATATTTTACTTTTATGCAGTAGCCTTGTTTGGTTTTGGTCTTTTTTGATTTTACTGTATTTCTTTGGTTGAATTGCTTATAGGCTTTTCTGTTTTTGGTGCTGAGGACTGAACCCAGGGCTTCCAGCTTGCTAGGCAAGCATTCCACCGCTGAGCCTAATCCCCAGCCGCAATAGTTTACTTTTAAATAAATGTTTTGCTTCTGTATTTCTTACTATATAATTAGATTAGTCCCATTAATTGATGTTGTTTTCACAAAAGATAGTGAAACAAATATTTAAAGATGTGCCTTCAATGTCCTTGGTTGTCTCTTGTCATTAAAATAGCTGTGGTAGGAAGAAGGTGGAGGAAATGGGAAGGAAGAAGGAACAGCGATAAAGGAGTTAAACTGTGCTGTGCACATGTTCCAGTGACACTCAAGGAATGTAAACATTATGGATTGCAACCATGTACTAATAATTTTTTTTAAATAAATGGATATATAAAAAGAAAATAGGTATGATAAGGGTTTCTATCCAAATACAGATTCGGGCCAGGAAGAAGGCTCAGTAGAATAAGCACTTCCCTGGCAAGCACAAGGGCCTGAGTTCAAGCCCCAGTTCCGCAAAACAAACAAACAAAAAGATACAGAATGTGCTGTTATTATAAATGAGGCAATAGATGTACAAGGACTTCAAAATCTTAAAGCGCTATTCAAATGCAAATTATACTGATAAGTGTTCAGAAAGCTTTCACAAAGCAGTTTCATTTTCCCACACTGTGATTTAAAATTGATGATTCTTAAACTTCCTACTTAAAAAAAAATGACATACTAAAAAGAATAAAGAATGATTTAATAAATATCCAGATAACCATAGGAAATTTGTAGTGCAAAATTTGTTATCCTAAGCTTTCCATTCAGTGTCTTAGGCTATAAGCTTTTTTCATGGCATTTCAGTATATACCCTCACTAAGGAAGAAAAATAGACAGGATGCTGAAATATTTGTTGGCTTCATGCATCTAAATATATCATAGTTCATAAACTACTTAAATTCTATATGGGGGAGTACTAGCATTTTCAGAAAATTCTCTATAAATTGTTCATTGTACTTGATCATAGTAATTTCTGTCACCATTTGTAAATAAACTAATTTGATATCCTAATATTTTGTAGCTATCAAATGAAAATTTAAGGACTACCAACTGTCAGTATATTGGAATACTTTGGAGAAATTTTTAACTTTCTTTTTTTCTGATAGACAGTATGCTGGCTATGACTACTCGCAGCCAGGCTCATTTGTCCCTCCAGACATGATGCAGCCGCAGCAGCCGTACACGGGTCAGATTTTCCACCCAGCTCAGGCATATCCTCCTACTCCTCAACCATTGTATGGAAACAACTTCGAGGATGAGCCCCCTTTATTAGAAGGTAGGGTTGGTTGTAACATTTGATGATACAGGTTGAATAAACCTTATTGGAAGTGCTGGGACCGGAAGTGTTTCATTTTGAGTTCTTTTTAATGTTGGAATATTTTCCAACTGGATTGGCATCTCTAATGAGAAATCTAAAAATGCCTAAAATCTGAAACTGTTGGAACATCCTGTTGTTGTTCACAAAGTTTTAGTTTTCAAGTTTTTTATTTTTCCAACTAGAGATGTTCAACCTATACTTTGTAGTATCCAGCCATACAGAAAACATATATTTTTGTTTCGAAAAGTTGTCCTTTCCTTTAAAAGATAGTGTTACAAAGTAGTTTTCTTCCTATTTCAAAGAATATACATAACACTGTCAAAAGGGACTGTATTTTTCATACTTTTTAATAAACTGATAATAAAATGTCAGAAAGCCATCTTTGACTTTTACTTTAAATTAATAATTAAATGCCATCAATGGAAGAAGTGAAAGGAAATAGCATGATTATTATTTTGCATGGAAATATACTAACAGAATTGCTAAAATTACTTAAAAATTACATTTTCAAATTATTTCAAAACCTATAAAGCAATTTTCTGGATTTTGAGAAAGACTTTGAAGATTTATTGAAATATAAATACTCAAGAAAAATTACACGTGTATGAAAACATAGTTTTGTGTACAATTTCATGGGGCCCTCAAGTCTTCCTGTAGTCTCAGGTAAAGAACTCATACTAGTAACCTTGACTGTATTTTTTGGCACTGCAGTAATAACTGAGACATAATGATTGTGTCATCATATCGGTACCTTTTCCACCACTAAACCAGAAGTTACGTACTTTTAGGGCAAACATTACGAACAGCAAAGACTGGCATTCAGAAGTCTGTAAAAGAATATGATTTATAAACCTTTTGATTCTGGGGGTTTCATTATGGTTCCTGTTCCAACATAGATTGTGGTAAATTAAAAGGGTGCCACGAATCTAAGCTGACTTCTTTTCTCTTCCTTTAGAGTTAGGTATCAATTTTGACCACATCTGGCAGAAAACACTAACAGTGCTACATCCATTAAAAGTAGCAGATGGCAGCATCATGAATGAAACTGACTTGGCAGGACCAATGGTTTTTTGCCTTGCCTTTGGAGCCACATTGTTATTGGTAAGTTTTTAATTTGATGTCTCAGTGTGTGCTTAAATGACAAATGTTACAAAAGCTATTTTTAAAATTATTTATTTATTTAATACAGGGTCTTGCTACGTAGTTCAGACTCAATGATCCTCCTTTCTCAACCTTCCCAGCACTGGGATTACAGGCATGTACTACCACGCCCAGTTTTAGGGCTGGCATGGCGTGTGGTACTGGGGCTTGAACTCATATCCTTGCGCTTGCCAGGCAGGCACTTAGACTGCTGAGCTATCTCCCCAGCCCCAAAAGCCATTTTTAAAACTGCTTATATTTTAAGTCTTCAGTTGGTTGGTATAACTTCTTAGTATAAGTCCAGTTATTGGGTAAAGCACAACAAGAATTAAAGAAAAAATATAAGTAAATAATATGTGTGACTTCAGTACTTCATTAGAATTGTGTTTTATCACTTTTCTTTTCAGACAATATTTTTTTCCCTATTGCTCTTCTTTAAAGTAAAGATAACAATTTTTAATGCTTAGAGTTTTGTTATTTTGCTGATGACTACTTTTCTATATATTTTAACTTATAGTACATTAAAACAAAAGTTTTTGTCCTGTCTCCTACCTACTGAAGAATGTTAATCATTTTGGAAATGATAAGCATTTATAATGATAACTAATGCACTTGTTTATCTTCTGTTTGAATTACAAGGGATAGATAATGTAAGGGTAGAAGACAGAGTTTTTAGCCAGAGGGGCTGGACTTGAGCTCAGGTTTCCTACTTTGTTCTTGATTAAATTATTTAATCCTTCAGCTCCTTGACAAGGAGGTGTCCTGCCCACTCACAGGATTGTTTTGAAAATAAAACAAGACAGACTATGTGAATGCATCTTGAAAAGTTAAAAAGTATATGCAAATATGAGATGTTATTATTACTGTATGATGAATTCATCAGTGAACTACCTCAGCTTTCTCCACCTTCCACATGCTCTTAATCAAATATTTACAATTACATTTTGAATCAACAAAAATCTCAGTGAATTTTTTCCATTCATTATAACTTACAGGGATACTCTCCAGATTGAGTCTTACATTTGGAAAACCTGGTACATTTTGAACAGTTCCCCATAGACTGATTTTAGTGATATGACCTGAATGTAGTACTTTTTCACATAACTTGACTAGTAAGGTAGTTCCAACTTAGGTAATCTTTGCTGTTTGAAAACCGTAGTGATTTCATTTACAAGAGCAGAATTGTTAAACTGATTCCTTTTTTTTTTTTTTTTTTTTCTTATCTAAGGACTGTAATAACAGTCATTTGGAAAAGTAATGAAAGACAAAAATATAATTCAGTTATAGTCCTTTTTTGTTTTCTCTTTCCTTCCCCACAGACCCTTAGCCCCCTATTTACCCTGGCTGCTTTTATCTTTCCTAATACCATATAAAATGAATAATGAAATTATTTCTGCTGTTAGACTGTGGCTATATATGTCCATGAGAATTAGACGCCTTGGTTCATTTTGAGAACGTAGGTGCTTTGAGTGCTAGTAGCAATTATCCAAACATTTTAAATAGCTTTTCACCTTTGTATTTTATTTGCTTAGAGTCAAAGTCCCTTTTAGAAATAAGCTGGAGAACCAAATTATCTCTGTATTAGAAGGTGATTCTTTAACATTAACAAGGCTATGAAACCTAGTCTGCTCTTTTACTCCCCTGCATGAAGTATATTTATTGCTGTAGACTTTGATCATGAAGTCAGTAACTTCACATGTGCCATTTAAAGTGAAATAAAGTGAAGAGTAATTTAACTTTTGTCCTTTTTGTTATTTTTCTTTACTCATAGGCTGGCAAAATCCAGTTTGGCTATGTATATGGAATCAGTGCGATTGGATGTCTAGGAATGTTTTGCTTATTAAACTTAATGAGTATGACAGGCGTTTCATTTGGTTGTGTAGCAAGTGTCCTTGGATATTGTCTTCTTCCCATGATCCTACTTTCCAGCTTTGCAGTGATATGTTCTTTACAGTAAGTGCTAATCTTTATTATGGAATTCAACTGATTCTATTTAATAGGGTTTGCCTCACCTTCTGTTCAAGATAATCATTGATTCAATGAGACAGGGAATGGTAGATTCACTAAGATAGTATGATAATGCCTCTCTTAGACAGGGACTGCTATATGTTTTTGGAAGATGAACAGTGAAAGTAGTAATAAGTTTTGAACTCGTTCATACTATTTCTGTTTTATGTGTGATGAAAAATTTAACTACTTTTGTTTATTGACCAATATCACAGTAACAGATCAAATAGTTGTGATCCTTAAAGAGAACAGAAAAGTTCAAGTCATTAGTGTTGAAATTATGTTTATCCTTTGGATGCTTTAGAGCATGCCAGATTTCTTGACCTTTAGGCATATGCAGAACTATGAGTAGTTAATTCTGTATTCTTTATTTTGCAAGTTAGTAAGGCATAACATATGTGAATTAATGTCACAATGACCCGTCAGCATTCCAAGCATCTCCTTGTAGCTAGTTCTGCACCAGCGACCAGGCTTCATTACACTAAGTAAGTTATACTTAGAAAGCTAAAGTGGAGTTAGGAGAAAAGCATGTATCAACTATTTGTCTCGTAATAGAAGTTTGACAGGGTAATGACTTTATAGCATTCTATTTTTTGAACAAAAATGGTTTGGATTTTCATTGAGGAAATGGCTTCATCCTTATTTGTTGAGAATCAACATGTTAATGTTTGAATTTTAGAGAATTGATTTTTTTTACCAATACACTATTGCTCACCCAGGAACAATTTTGTTTCCCAGGGAATGTTTGGTAATGTCTGGTGGTAATTTTGATGTCACCTCTGAGGGTTAGTGACATGCTGGCACCTTGGTAGAGACTAGGGATGCTGCTGAACATCCTCACAGTGCTCAGAACAGCCATTACAACGAGGATATGTCTGGCCCAAATGTCAAAGTGCCAAAGTTGGGAAGTCTTGTATTTTGAAAGACAAGTGTAGTTATAAATGAGATTTTTAGTCACATGAAATGACTTAACATCATTGAATTCACCATGGGGGTTCATTTAGCACCTGGGGGGGAAAAATCAATTATTTGTACATATGTCTGCATATGGATTTAAAATGCTTTTCTTTAGAACAAATGATTGTCGTGTTCTTACATAACTAATCTCCCTCCCTTTTCTTTTGTGCTTACAGAGGAATGTTAGGAATCATTCTCACTGCTGGGATTATTGGATGGTGTAGTTTTTCTGCTTCCAAGATTTTTATTTCTGCTTTAGCCATGGAAGGAC